GCATCCACCTTTCAAGCAATAAATGTGCTTGAAAAATTGACGAATTACGTAAAATTTCAATTTTCATTGTAAAAAACTCGACAGTGTTTTCTTTTCTACCAAAAATAGTAAGACCACCCTCGGTATGGATGCCCTAGCTTATTGACAAACATAATTTTGATGATAGATGTAAAATATGAAAAAATATAAAAAACATTAAAAAATAATCGAACGAATAGGAATGTTTTGGTTCATTAAGGCCCTGGGTTGTGCATTTTCATTTGGTACTTGTCGTCTATTCGATTTAAAAACGTTATCGCGCATTTATTTTTTTTTATTTCTTTTAAACAGCGCAAAAGCGTGAAGTTCTGTTTTCACTTTCTCAATTAGATCAGAAATATTGCTTAAAAAAGCAGTCTATTTTAAAGTTAAACGGCTATCAATCAGCTTTCAGCTCATTCTGTTCGAAATTTGGAAGCACTCGGAATTATCCCGAACGGCATACCCGCTGGCAAAGCTGTTCATCTTTTAATGACTTGTTAGCAAGTAAATTGGAAGTGGCACAGTCCGGATTATTTCCAGAAAGAAAACTCTTTCAATAATTTTATTAAAAATTGCAAAAAGATTAAAAAAGATATTTTCTTCCAATAATTAATGTTTGTTAAAATACATCTGAGCGACAATTGTATCAAAATTTCAAATAATAAATTTTTGTAAAAAAATGGGGTTTTACTCAAGTTTGTTAGTAAAGAATGCAATTTCTGCCTTATTTACTTTGTCACGCTTTTTTTCTTTTTAGGCTCGTTCATTAAGCCAAACGCAGATTTTTGCCAGTTCCGATGATATCGATAAGAGCTATTTTAATGTAGATAGAAGAGGTAATGATATATTTATAAATATATGTAGTTTGTATGAAATATATGAGCAGCCGAAGGGGCTACTAAAATGATTGTGCTATGAGGGCAATGACGGAAATAATAATTGGCCAACGCACGGGCTGCCCGTGCCAAGATTTTTGCATGGTTCTCCGCACTTTTTGTTGCTACCGACATCGGTTTTTTCGACAAATGCTTTTAGCTAAACAAATTAAGACTGACCGCCAGAACTGTCAGAAAACACCCCCTTAAAATTTTAGCTTTCTAGCTTCCGTGGCCCCCCAAGGTTCCAGCCTTCTAGCTTCTCAGATCTCCGAGTTATGAAGTTACCCGAAAAGAATTTTGGCGGGCTCGTGCGAGGGTACCATGCTTACCCGGGGGCTGGGTTTGAGCCCACTAATAGCCTCTTGGGCGGGAACATTAACCCAAGATTTCAACTTTCTAGCTTCTCAGATCCTCGAGTTATCAGCTGATCCCAAAAAAACTTTGGCGGGCCCATACGCGGGTACCACGCAGGTTTTGAAGCCGATTTTTGGGATGGGGGCCTGTACGTGCATGTAGATTATGATCCTAAAGTTTCAGCCCTGTAGCTTTCGCCGGTCTCGAGATGAAAAATCGGTACAGGCGAACATACAGACACATACACAGACAACCTCTCGTCAATATGCGTTTTCTGCATTGCATAGCTGCAAAAAACGCATAAAAATGAAGCCAGAAAAAGTAGAATATTAACTACCAGATAAACCAAATTATGTTACGAATTGAAATCAGCTGTAGTCACTAAGTCCGTCAGAAATATAAATGATAATATTTATCTTGGTAGAATTTCTATTGCGAATATAACTTCATAGCAGTCGTATCAAAGAATTGCAGCTGTGATACTGAATATGAACGTATACAGCCTGACGGATCAAAATATTTCTGCTCATTTAACTTGCTAACATATTTTTATCACACATATACATATATATGTATATACAATAATTAATATCGTTATTGCCGGTAATATCGAATATAAAGACTACCAGACACACGGATTTTGGGTAAATTCAGAAGACAAACAAACCGTCTTATTCCTGTGTAAAATTATCTTTTGATGATTTTTTGAGGAGGCGGGCAAAGTGGTGAAAAGATTTGTTTGAAGAGATATATGGAATTATGTGAGTGAGAGACATCCGAAACAGAAAAGAATAGAGAAGTTGCCAACTGCTTCAACGGCGAGAAAAAAACCGGTGAAATAACAATCGAAGTAACAAAATGAAGCACTGCTATAATAATTTTTTATTATTATTTTTGCCTCTAGTTAATAATAACAAAATAATTGCCGGTGTGTATTAGTAAAATAGTCCCTATTTCTCGCCAAAAAAAAAGGTTTTTTATAAACGACCTTCGAAAATTCACCGCAAGTAGCTTAACGAGTAAACCTACATGAAATCCCAACAGATTATCTACTACCATGAAATACAGAAAAGCACTGATATCTGGTATTTTATGAGAATAATGCACAATCAGTGCATAATTGGTAGCAGATCAGGTTCTCATTTTATGCATTAATTCTGTGATAGATAGCTGACCCGATTAAATAGTAGAAAAAAATGAGTTAATCCTTGATAACTTTAACAGTTACCATTGCTTATATGGCGTCCGAAA